ATTGTTTTGTTTTGGTGTTCTGTTTATACTACACACTTTTAGGGCGGAGTTAGGATTTGACGTTTGGGGGCCGAAAATGTTTTTTTATTATTGAAGAAGCAAAAAAGAAAAAATATAAATAATTTACCAATATTAGGAAAATTAATTTATATTGATTATTATAACGACCTTTCAATACACTTTTTGAGATAATTAGATTCGTTCAAATTAAAAAAATATGAATATATCATGTTATTTTGATACAAACTAGTGAATTGCCAAAAACTTAATGTATCAATGCATAGTCTAGCAAAAGTATTTACTCGGTATATATCCAAAATAATTATTAAATTTTCAAATGAAAAGTTATAAACCTTAAGTAATCTAAGTCAAAGATCTAAAGAGATATAAATATGAAAGTTAGATAAGTGAATTGAACTTTTATGTAATTTAAAACAGAAAAAAGAAACAAAAATTGAATGTTAGATGACTAACTTGAACTTCTATGTCAAGTAAAACTGAAAAATAAAAGAAACTAATAAAAACTGGAAGTCGAATGAATAAAATTGAATTTTTACATCAAATGAAACTAGAAAAGAATACAAACAAATGAAGTATTTTACTACAAACTTATGTTAATACATAATTTTAATTACGAGTTCATACGCAACTTTCAAAATTCTCTGGGCCCGGGGCCCTGAGACATAAGGTAGCTCCGCCCCTAAACACCTTGCAGCCATCTTTGGGCGCATAATAAGTTTATATGAACTCTATTATAGTCATTACAATCTGTTAACACCAGATTCTATATCGATGTAAGCTGAGAATTGAAATTTCTATCCACTATCTGCAAAATCACTCCAGCAAAGCCAGAGTACGATCTGTCATTATTTTGCCTTAGTTTTTCTCTTTTCTATAATATACTATCTTCATTATGAGCTGTCAGGATACTGCAAGACATTCAACCATGAAGCTGTTTTATCACCGATATGTACGATACCAGAGGATTACTCTCCAATCTATCAATTCACGAAGAAAGATACCTCGTAAATACTCAAGTGGCAAAATGTTTATGGCAGAGATTTGCTTGCAAGTGAGGAGTGCTATCATAAAGCACACAATAATTTGCCACCCAGAGGCATTTCTACGGTACCATGGTAAAATCCGGGTACAACATACTTTGAGTATGAAAATGCAATCCAGAACTTGAATTGATTGATCTTTCGGACATGATAGTATACTCTAAACCTTAAAGATCAACATCTATGTCTTAATTCTCTAAATCTTACACCCCAACATGTATGTTAAGGTACAATCCAAGTACCACATCGGTAATACAAGGGAAGGAACCCTTGTATATTAGTGTCCACCAAACTCATTAGTACGAGGCCTTTTGGGGAGGACACCCAAGAGTAAAACCGTGCGGGCTTGGCCCAAACCGGACAATATCGTACTAATTGAGCACCCGATACGACAAGTGGTACTAATTGGAGTAAAACCGTGCGGGCTTGGCCCAAACCGTATCGGGTGCTCAATTAGTACGATATTGTCCGGTTTGGGCCAAGCCCGCACGGTTTTACTCTTGGGTGTCCTCCCCAAAAGGCCTCGTACTAATTGGGCTAGGTGGACTCTAATATACAAGGGTTCCTTCCCTTGTATTACCGATGTGGTATTTGGATTGTCCCATAACAATCCTTCCCTCAAGCCAAGGATCACGAACTTCGTGTCCTCTCCTCAACGATTATCTTGATCCGCCAGACGCCTTGTATCGATGGGCTTCTCGGTACAAGGACTTTACCAGAAACTCTCTTTGATCTGCTTCCCAAATGCGGAACTCTCTTTGATCCGCCAAAGCCCAAACGTGGATCTCTCGTGGATCCACCAAACAGACGCGAATCGCAAATCCCGAGGTCACCGAATGAGGGTCCACCAAACTGACGTCCACCGCCCTGGATCCGCCGAACCAGGCTCTGATACCACTTGTCGTACCGGGTGCTCAATTAGTACGATATTGTCCGCTTTGGGCCAAGCCTGCACGGTTTTACTCTTGGGTGTCCTCCCCAAAAGGCCTCGTACTAATTGGGCTAGGTGGACTCTAATATACAAGGGTTCCTTCCCTTGTATTACCGATGTGGTACTTGGATTGTCCCATAACAATGTATTTAATTAGAAACAATAATCGTCGGTTATGATTCGTCCAAATATTGGGGGGGGGGGGGGGGGGGGGGGAATGAATGCACCATCTTAAGGTTTATAGTTTACGATTTAGATAATTAGCACCTAGGATTCACTCATTAAGGGTTACGGTATAGTATCAGAACCAAAAACCCTCCTAATTCGAGAATTAGATAGCATTTTATACTCAAGAATAGTGAAAGATATTCTTTTATTAGCTTTAAATTGATCAACTCTCCTTTCAGTTTTAGTTTGAAGTGTTTAACGTAGGGGCTAGAAAAAATATTAGGAGAGATACTATACTTATTAATTTGTTTGTGGCGAAAGAGAGAATTAAAAATGAAAACTACCCGCTCCATTTCAAATTCCCAACATTCAAAAATGTTTTGTAAAGGGAGAATTTGAAAAAATAGTTTATACTTTATACGTGTAGGCTGAAACCATGCACGTGCCGCAACTTTGGGGTCGTTTGCTTCTTAGATTTGAAAAATGAGGGTTTTGGCTAAAAAAAACCTTTGGATTTATGAGGGATTTGTATCATCATGGATTTGAAGAGTCTATTGTTTGCATTATAGATTTGATGATATAATTATGATGGATTTGCTATAAATATAACTAGCCATCAAGGATTTACAAATCCCACCCCAATATGTGGGATTTACAAGTCTGTGGGGTCCACGGATTTGGATCCAAAAAAAGGAACAAATCTGTGGACCCCACGGATTTAACACCTGACAACAAACAATGGACTTGGCTAAAATTCATCATGATTTGTTATGGGCCCTTTATGAAAATCCGCTTTAGTAATTTCTGTAAGTTCCATTTGACATTTGTTGGAGACAGAGAAAGTGTATGAAATAAAGAAAGTAGCTGATTTTGATATTCTGATAAATTATTCATTATTGAGTAGAATATAGATAAAGTATTTAATAATAGTTTAATCAAATGTGATTATATTTTGTAACTTGATTTTAGTATTGGGCAACACATTATGAAGTATTTACATAAAATCGTTATAATATAGTTACGTAAATAAAAATATAATACGTAAAACTTATGGAGATATAGTTATTTCTTATGTAGCCGGATTTTTTTCCTAGAATACACATGTTTTTAAAAAAATTCTCAAAATACATAAGTGTTATGAAAAATTCTCAATCTACACATGTTTGGACATCACCGTTGCCGTCAACCGCGGTGAATGCATTCACCGCTGCAGACTAAAGCGGTGAAGGCTACACCGCGTTTGTCGGCCTGACCTAAGGCCGAAACTTCAAACTAACGTAACTTTGCGCTCAGTTATCCGATTGTAGCGAATTATTTTTATTTCGCATAACTTTTCAAGATCTTTCAAACTGCAACTGCCATTCATCCCAAAAAAAATGTCGTTTGCTACCCCGAACGAGCAATTTTTCAATTTCGACAAACTTTGGAAGACCATAACGCTCCCATGAATTTTTTTAAATTTTGCATAACTTTTGACGGACTGCAACTTTCATCATAACCATAATTTTGGAATGTATGTGGATTTATGAAAAGTAAAGGCGAAGTTATTCCCAAAATCTCGTATACCCAAAAATATTTCTTTTTGAAAATTATTTTCTAGTAAAAGTTGTAGTTCTTAAAAAGTTATGTTCAATAAAAAAAACACTTTATGACTTTCGGATTGAGAAGCACAAAGTTTGAAAAAATCGAAAAATTGCTTGTTCGGGGTAGCAAACGACATTTTTTTTGTCATGAAGGCCAATTGTAGATTGAAAGATCTTGAAAAGTTATGCGGAATCAAAAAAATTTCGCTACGATCGGATAACCGAGCGCAAAGTTACGTTAGTTTGAAGTTTCAGCCTTAGTCAGACCTTCACCGCGGCCGTCAACCGCGGTGAATGCATTCACAGTCTACAGCGGTGATGTCCAAACATGTGTAGATTGAGAATATTTCATTAAACGTGTATATTTTGGAGAAAAAAAATTAAAAACATGTGTATTTTGGATTTTTTCCCTTCTAGCCTCCCTTCAATAAAAAAAATTATAAATCCCAATCTCTCATCCAAACAGCCACGATAATCTATCCACGCAAAATTCCATATCAACCATCATCGTCAAGTAGGGATGGCAACAAAATCCGAACCCACGGGTACCCACCCGACCCAACCCGGTCAACGCGGGTAAAACCCGTGTTGACGGGTTTTGGGCCGGGTTCGGGTTTAAACCCGCTACACTATTCACCCGGTCGGGTTGGGTTTGGGTTTAGGTAAACCCGCCCCATGGGTACCCGCCCACACATATAATTACTTTCCCGGTATATTTAATATTCTAAATAATATATATTCCTTAAACAATTAAATACTTTATGTTTGTGGAGACATGTATAATTTGTTCTTTCTAATTGTTTAGAATGAAGTTGATATTATGAAGTGGAGAGTGAAGAAACTTAGTTGACGAGGAAGAAGCTTTCAATTAATCTTATTGTTTATAGATGTTTATCTTTAATTTTGAACAATTTGTATTGATCATTTGCGGTTTGCTTGTATGCTCTAGATTGGTGTTTTTTGTATGAATAATTTGTATGAGAAAATTGATGTTAAACTTTTATTTTGAAAGAAACTTGTTATTGTAAATTTTTTACCACAAAAACCCACGGGTACCCATGAACCCACGGATACCCAGCGGGTTGGGTTGGGTTTGAATTTTTCAAACCCAGCGAGTTTTACCCCGAATTTTTTTGGCGGATAAACCCATGTGTTTGAGTTTGGATTTGACAAAACCCGCCCCAACCCGCCCCATTGCCATCCTTAACGGAAATATTTAACAGCTGCTAAACACAAATCGTTGCATTTGGCGGTAAACTCCAACCGTAAAAACCCGCCAACAACAACACAATCATCATTTTCCTTTTTCCAAGGAGCTGCTACGGCGGTGCTCTCTGTTTTCCGTCATAAACCTTCCTGGTCAGGAGAAAAATTACCCACCAGATACAACTTATCCTCAAACAAACCAAAACCCACTATCCATCAACAGTGGAGACTGGAGACTCTACTTTTATCCTCTTAACTTCATCTTCCAACTCGCAGCTCTGCACTCTCTCAAGGAAAATCAAAACTCTAAAACTTCCCTAGCTCTAATGGTGATGGCGGTTCAGGCGCCGCAAGGCTTCTGGCGCCTCCACTCTCGGAAACCGAATTCCCAACTTCACCCTCCTCAATTCTTGCCTCCGCAGCCGGCGACTTCTTCCCGGAGAAAAGCTCTCGACTTTTCTTGTACGGCCACCGGAAATGATGTAAGCTTTCCACCGCCCCCAATTTCCATCTTTTTTCCCTTTGTTTGTTTCCGTTCCCCATGATAACTGGGTGAAAATTGAGTTCTTTTGAACAGGATTATTATCTTATAGACGCCGAAGAGTCTGCCGGAGATGGGTTCTCTTTCAGCGGAGGGAAGTATTCCGGCGAGCCAAGTCCGTCCGATGAATGGTTCAAACGAGGGAAAATGGTTAAAGCTCATCCAGTGTTTGGTTCTAAGGAGAAAGCTCAGGATCCTATATTTGGGCTCAAGATGGGTTCTGCTTCCCAGACTTCTGATGACCTCTTCAGGTATCACTGATATACTTCTGCTTAAAATCGATTCAGTTAGTGTTTAAGGTCTCTGTGAGCACAAAGAAATTGAGAAAATGGATTATTTGCAGGAATTACCGATTGAAATTGTGCTGTCTGTCTCTATATATGTTTGATTTTGTGCAATAGATGGTTTTGCGTGGAGAGTGGAAGTGCTGATAGCCCTACTGTTGTTCTGGTTCATGGTTTCCCTTCACAGGTAAGTTCTTCTAATCAATGCTACCTCTGTGATTTCTTGCAATGAAAATGACCGTTTACGAAGGCTATGTACACTCCATCTTACTGTTGCAGGCATACTCTTACCGCAAAGTGCTACCTGTGCTCTCCAAAAACTATCATCCCGTTGCTTTTGATTGGCTAGGTAACATCTTTATAAGATGTTCAAACCCTTAGCTGCTTCGCAAATGCTGAAACTACTGACCGCTTCCCACTTTCCCATTTGCAGGATTTGGGTTTTCTGATAAGCCTCAACCCAAATATGGATTTGACTACACATTGGATGGTAATTTGCTCATCATCACTTCTCATGACAAAAGGGGACTTACTGAGTTTTTTTGTGTGATAAGCTCTTGTTTTTGGTTATGTTATCTGCAGAATATGCCTCTTCCTTGGAGTCCTTGATCAATGAAATCGGTCCTAGTAAGATCTCACTCGTTGCACAGGGCTATTCTGCTCCTGTTGCTGTGAAATATGCGAGCAGTCACCAAGATAAGATTAGTAGCTTGATACTTCTCAATCCTCCTGTAAGAATCAGAACTCCTGTAGGTTTTAGAGGTCTGCAAAATTTACTTCTAATTTTGGATGCTGAAGAACTAAGACTACTTTTGCATGATTCTTACCCCAAGCTAACAGCTGCGCACGCAAACCTTCCATCGACATTGTCTATATTCAGCAACTTCTTGCTGGGTGAAATCTTTTCTCAGGTGAGCATAGGCTCTCCTCCAAACACTTCCCTGTTAATGCAAATGCCTGCCATTTAGCTTCTCTGGAAACATTTGTGGCTGAAGGTATGATCACTGAGGTTAATTAGCGGCATTGGTTTGGAGAATAGGACCCCTTAAGGGCAAGTGACAAGGTGTTGACTAGCAGTGGACCTTACAAGATGAAAGAGGATGATGCAATGGTATACAGAAGTCCTTATCTCACATCTGGTTCTGCTGGATTTGCACTAAATGCAATTAGTAGAGCCATGAAGAAAGATTTGAAGGTCAGTTCTTCTCCTTAACCTTTCCCAATCATCTTTTGCTCCTCTGAATAAAAAAGGCAACGTGTTCGAGTAATGTATGTGCTTCCATGATAGAAATATGTTGAAGAAGCGAAGGAAATGCTCTTGGATAAAAGCTGGGGTGTTCAGACTACAGTTTGTTGGGGGCGTAGAGACCGGTGGTTGAGCTTCGATGGAGTTGAGGAATTGCTCAAGGGTTCGAAAGTCAAGCTCATTGAGCTCCCAATGGTATCCAATTAATAACAGCCCTGCATCTCTTTTTCACTTCCATTATGAAAGTTTTGATTTGTATGCCTCTCATTCTTCAATGGTTTCTATGTCGTTTGTTCTGTTTGATTATGAAGGCAGGGCATCATGTGCAAGAAGACTCGGGAGACGAACTTGGAGGGATCATCTCTGGAGTAATCAGTGGAAGGATTCGTAACTAATTAGTGAAAACAAATCCAGGACAGCCATTAGTTGGATGAAGAAACAATGAATTGTTTGCATTTGAGTAACTGTCAGAGTTTGTGTACAGATTGCGAGGAGACAGTGTAACTTGGGACCCAAGCAACTAATACTATGGAATTCAGCGATATGTTTTTGGAACAAGATTAGAACTTATGATCAGGAAAAGAGATTAGGATTTCTCCTCCTTCATAGCCTTCTTCACGCTGAACAGAACACTAAACTATCATCATCTTCATCATCATCAATATTTGAATCTAACGGTGATAAAGCTCGGAATCTGTTGTGACATGGGTTGTATCTGTTGTGACATGGAAACATCTGGTGTGAACCGAGGAACAGAGCATACCCTTCCAAGCTCCCCCACTTCCTCCCAATTACTTCCATTAAGGTTGTTGTTCCCTTTGATTACCAGCTTATACACACAGAACTTTTGTTTCCGACTGTGACATCGTGGGATGAGGAGGAGTTGATCATCAGTAATACCATCATTAAGGTTGCACACTCCAGCGAAAGCGGTGACCTGGGAAGCGATCTCGGGTGGCCTTATGACTTCTCTAGGTTGCTTCTCCTCTGAATCTGGTATTTTAATTGTCCAAATAGCATGGACTTCCCCTATTGAATTCAGCATTGTATTACTATGCAATGTACCGGGGGTAGCCTTATCGAATTTCTAATCGATACTATTACTGAATTTCTAATCGAATTTCTTCACAAACAAAACAACAGAATGATTCCAGTTCACCCGGAAGGAAGGGCAGAAATGTTCAGACAGCAGTGGGGGGAAAGAAGCTATGTTCATAAGTCTGGTTTAGCATTCATAGATACAGAATTCCACATTGAGAAGAAATGTAAAACGGTGTGGCTATTTGAAACTCACTCTACTTGACGTAGTAAGGAAGGTTAAGAACATAGAGAAGGAAATAAGCCCAGGTCACCCCTGAAACCCCTCCGAAGAAGAACCCTCCGGTGAACTTCGCCCACCCGTCGGCGGTCTGCAGCTGGTCAGGCTGCTTCTTCCTTCCGGTCAATGTCAAGCTGGGTGCGGTCGACGGCTCCCCTTCGTTGAAGGAAGCAACTCCATACATGGTTAGGCAGAGGCTGAGGATCACCACCAGGCCGGCGGCGGCCAAGGAACCTGCCGCCCCGGCGTACTCTGTGTTCCTGAGCGGGCCGGCCTTCACGAATGGGCCCACGAGGAGGAATCCATGGGCCAGGCCCACTTCGATCCCCCTCAGGAGTGGGCTCACCGCGGTGCGGTATGCGGGGAGGTTGGAGAGGTACCAGGCGATCAGTGGGCTGGACGTGACCGGAGTCTCCAAGCTGCCTATGAAAGGGTCGCCGTTGATCGGCTGCACCACTTGGTATGTCGGCTGCAGAAACAAAGTACACATTAGATTACATAGTACAATCGATCTTCTTAGGACGCTAATTGCTTTCACAAGCGGATCGAATTATTGGAACGAACTGGTTCTTCGTCGTACTATTATGCTTTAACAACAGGTTCTGGAAAAGATATTTACATTGCGAGAAGGATTTGTTACCTTGTCAGCCTGAATTGCCTTGACAGTGAAGGAAGAAGATCTCCTGGAGGTGGGCAAAACTCTGAAGGAAGCACCGGAAATGCCCTTGGGGACAATCAGACCTTTCCTCGCGGGAGAAGTGAAGCTGGACTTGAGCTGGCTAGCCATTGGAGATGCTGTGGCAGCCATAGCTAGAAAGCGAGCGTTTAATGTACAAAGTCAGAGAGATGGGAAGAGGCCGCTGGAAAAGGGTTTGGGATTTGGTTTATTTGTTTGTGTATCTCAGGGAAGAGAATCTATTGCAGGAAAATTTGTGGCTTGGAGAAGGATGAGGTGTCATAGTTGGACGAGTTTGATTGGACGGATGCCCTTCGGGATCTTATCCACATAATTAGCTTATCACTCGCAAATATATTTATTTGTTATGAAATTATCCCTCAAATATTGGCCCATTTCAATTTCCACCACAAAGCACAAACATCAGTCTAGTTATTCTGCTAACTTGAAAATTCGTTAGTATGGGTTAATTGTATACTCTTATGTGTTATCTGGATACTAATTATGAGTTATCTGGATACTATTCTGTGTTGTCTAGATATTAGTTTGTGGATTTGGGATAATAGTTGATTCATGGTGGATATCAGTTAGCAAACTTTGAATACTAGTCTGTGCTCTTTAGATACTTTAATATTTGGATATTAGTTCATATATTTTGAATATCAGTTAGTATCTACTAACGAATCTTCAAGTTAGCAGATTAACTTTTCCCCACAAACATACAGTGGAAGTACCACATCCACGATGATTATTGGTTAACCCGTAGATGATAGCTTAGTGGTAAGAAAGTTTGTTAGGTCAAGTCTCAAGCGTATGTGCTCTTAATTAACTTATGGGTTAATTGCATGGTCGGTCATTAAGATTACAAAAAACGTTCAAGTTTGGTCACTCGAAATATTTAAATTCATTGGTGATACTTAAGTTTACTGAAACCGTTCACGTTTGGTCACTCTCCATCCAACTCCGTTAACTTTTGCTTACATGGCGGTCAACTCTAAAAGTTGACCGTTAAATGTGTGATGTGGCAATTTAAAATTAATAAAATTAAAATTTTCAAAATTGCGATCTCATTTCCACCTAATTATCACTTTTATTTAAAATAAATAAATAACCCTAATTTCTTCTAATCCCAATACCCTCCGGCAGCATACCTGCCGTCGCTGCCGCTTCCATTGCAACCAAAGAGGACCAGGTCTGGTCAAGGTCGTCGCTGCCGCTCTCAACCCCCGTGGATTTCAAGCGGAGGCAGGGGAAGTTCCAGGCCACCGATTCTGCTCTTCCGGTAGGTTAAACAGTCGGAGTAATTAATCCCTCAATTCTTTCAATTAGTTGTACTGCCTATTTGATTACTGAGAGAAATTTAAAATGCGTCTTTGTAGACTGTTCCAGGATATGATGTTGCCGGAGTGGTGGTGAAAGCTGGAAGCAAAGTGAAGGAGTTCAAAGAAGGAGATGAGGTTTACGGCGATATTCATGAGGTTTACAGACCATTTGGTATCAAATGAATCAAAAATTTATTTCATTGTAAAATGAATTACTGTGTAGAATTCATTGTCAAATGAAATCTTGTGTTTGGTATCTCATATTCAAATATTTATAAATAAAATGAATTGTCATGTAGAATTCATTGTCAAATGAATTCCTATATTTGGTATGTCATATGTATAAGTAATTTAGTTAATAAAAAAGAATAATTATGTCATTATATTATAATTAGTAAATTCTCGTGGAATTCATTTGGAAATTCTATCTCAATTCCTTGGAATTGCTATAACTAGTTCCAATTCCATAGAATTAAAAATTTAGAATTGGAAACGAATTATTTTAAATACCAAACATAAAAATGTTTCATTTTAAAATGAATTCCTCAAAACTTATGGAATTCATTTATACCAAACGGTATGTTAGTGGTAAGAAAGTTTGTTAGGTCAAGTCTCAAGTGTATGTGCTCTTAATTAACTTATATAAATATAATATGTGTTTCTACTATGAGAAATTTTACTATGCTATATAGTATTGGTGCTATAGGTTTTTGCCTTTATGGCATAACTTGAAGTTATACCTTTAACGTTATGGTACAACTTTAGATTGTACATATACTCTTTTGTACAAATTCTTTCAGGGTACAACTTGAACTTGTACATTTATGTGATGGTACAACTTTAAGTTGTAAAGTTGTACCATAACATAAGGGTACAAATTCTTTTATGGTACAACCTAAACTTATACATTTAACGTTATGGTACAACTTCAAGTTGTACATTAAAGCACCCACACTTTAGAGCATAGTAGAAGTGCTCTTCTACTATACATTCTTTTTAAATATATCTCTTTATTATTTGTTACGTAAAAAGATCATTGTATTTTCGAAAAATTATTTAACATATGTTTCTATTAAAATTCAACCAAACATCATCATCACGGTCGAATCATGGTTCTGGCAAATGTGCATCTAAACATTGGACCAATATGCAAATTTTGGAAATTTTACGTACTAAATTGTAATAATATAAAATTTTAGGTACAAAAATTAAATTTTTGGTACCCATATGTAAAATATAAAGAAGTACATGTACGAAATTCTAATTTGCCAAATACCTATTAATCCACCAAGGACCAATCCAATTGGATTTGAATCAAAATATGTTGGATTTAAATTAAAAGCTAATTCCACTACAAAAACCTAAACTATCAAAACATATTATTTATGTTCTAACTATTCAATATGACAATGCTAGCACAAACTATATTTCCATTGTGTTGACCGTTAGTATTTAGGGCTAATACCACTAGAAAAACCAAACTATTAAAAATGTGTCATTTATGTCCTAAAGTATCTAACATGACATTTGTGTCCTGAACTATTATAGTTTTATGTCATTTATGTCCCAACCTATTATAGTTTTGTGTCATTTATATCCTAACCTGAACTATTAAGAATGTGCCATTTGTTAAATACCAACGGTCAACGTCGGTCAACTCTAACGGAAAAATAGTTTAGGATATAAATGTCATATTGGATACTTTAGGACACAAATGACACATTCTTAATAGTTCGGGTTTCCTAGTGGTATTATCCTAGTCTTTAATAACACAAAATCTAATCAGTATAAATGTGGGATCTGACATGGAATTTTATGTCCAATTTTTATTTATTTTTTCATCTCACTTAACAAAGTAATTAAACTCAAATAAAAATTAGGGATGGCAATGGGTCGGGTCGGGGACGGATAGTGCATATCCGTTACCCTACGCAAAGTAGTTCGGATTTTACCCACGCCCATACCCACATGTGAAACGGGTAGAAAATCAAAATCATGCTCATACCCCTTCGGGTTTCGGATATCCACGGTTATCCATGAGTAATAATTTATCTTCATAACTCCAACCAATATGTTAACATTCATATGTATTCTCACATTACGTAAGAGGAAAAGTACAACAATACTTCACCAGAATGAAGAAAATTAATTAAAACAACACAATTTCATGAAAATATTATATTTATATGATAAATATAAAATATGTTAGAGAAAAATAATGATTATTTCTAGACAAAATAAATGTGCATGTGTATAATCGGACGGGTTCGGGTTGGATAGTGAGAAACTCATGCCCACCCATTACTCGCAATATTTGGGTTCGGGTTTTACCCATACCCACTAAATATCCTTTGAGTTCGGGTTTTACCCTATACGATTAGACCGAATTCGGGCGGATATCCACGATTACGGATATTTTTACCATCCTTAATAAAAATGATACTAAAAAACTCTCAAAAACCACGGCTGCTAAACATCACTTGTCATCGTCGATTTGACCAAGAAGTCCAACCCAGCTACCGAGCACCATCAGTCGACGTCAATATCCCCTAGAAGTCCAACCCAGCTGCCCCAGCAATCCCTCTGCGCAAACCACCCAGGGCAAACCTCTGCGCAAAAATGCATAACTCAATATTCTTTCTAATCTTGCTTTTTCGTCAACACATTTGGCTCGTTTGGAAATAGTAATTCTTTAAATTGATAAATTCTATAAATATGTGTATTTTACATTGATGTTTTGTTTGAATGGTTGTATTTGAAAAGTCACTTGTTTAGAGGTCTAGATTGTGCTTTTCACATATTGTTTACCACTAAAAAATCACTCAATACCACATTGATTATTTTCAAGGAGTGGTAGTGATTTATAAGACCAACTTAACTATATTAATTAAATTTGTTTAAGCTGGGCCTAAATGATGGTATTTTGGGCTTCATACCAGGTACCTCAACACACACTATTTGACCCACCAAACACCCACTCGTCACGCAAGAGGGGTCAAGTGTCAAGCGTTGACACCCTTCAACATCAACCACCCAAGTGGGCACCCCATCATACTTAGCCAAAATTTCGCTCCACCAGTCGCCTACCTACCTCGCGGGTAATAACCCCTAGACATTATGGGGAGAAGAAGGCCAAAATTTGGCTAAGTGTTGAGACCCACAGCACAAGGGGAGTCATGCATGACATCGTCCAAGGGGGGTCAAGCATGACATCATCCCAGGGGGGTTCAAGCATGATGTCATGCAAAGGGGTCATCGCACTAGACCGTGATGGAAGGGAAGGCGAAAATTGGCTAAGTGTTGAGACCCATGGCACAAGAGGGGTCAAGCATGACATCACGCAAGGGGGGTCATGCATGACACCGTCCAAGGGGGTCAATCATGATACCATCCAAGGTGAGTCGAGTATGACGAGACGCGAGCTAGCTGTGGTGGCAAAGAGAGCCAAAATTTGGCTAAGTGTTGAGACCCATAGCACAAGGGGGGTCAGACATGACATCATCCCAGGGGGGTCAAGCACTATGTCATCTACCTACCTTGCACCAGGGGGGTCATGCATGACACCGTCCAAGGGGGTCAAGCACTAGGGTGTCAAGCATGATGTCGAGGTGAAAATTTGTTAAGTATGGAATCACATGGCCATAGCAAGAGGGTACCATATCAAGCCGGTAAGACTGACTTGGTGGCCAGGCAACAGGGGGCCAAGACGGACTTGATAGCCAAACATCAGGCTATCAAGCCAACAAGACAAGAAATTCGACTAAAGCATGGTGGCTAGCTGAGGGGGCCACCCGACTAGGTACCAAACAGCCATGTATGGCCCTTATGGGGCCATATGGAGACAAAGTCCCAAGACGGGCTTGGTAGCACCCTAATGGGGTACCAAGCCGGCAGGGTGTAATTTACCAACTTGATGAGGCTACAAAAACTAAGTATGGATACCAAGCCCCCAGGGCTGGCTTGGTAGCAA